ATATATTCCATTTGTGCATTTTAATTTTTTGTCAAGTCAGCCGGCCAGCTGTCGTTTTCTTTTTGCTGACATTACTGCGAATTAGTTATCTCTATAGTTTATCTTTGAAGAATTTTTAAATTTATAAACAATATATGGAATTTGTAAATTGTCAGGTTTCAATTTTAATTAGTTGGCCGAGGATAGGAAATTATTTTTTTGCGATTGTAGATGATAAATTTTCGCCAATTGGAATGAACGATTGAAAAAATGGTAATAGATATTTTGCTATTTTTATCTGGGGTGGAATTAAAATGTGACAACTATATTTGCAGAAATGTTATAAATTATATGAATTTCTACCAATTTTTCAAATATTTAATTCATATTAAAATTGCAAAAAAATGAACAATCAATAAATCCATAAATTTAATTTATATGCTATAAAAAATACAACTATTTTATTTTCATAACTAAATTCTATCTACTACAAAAAAACGACGAAGACCAGAAATTACTATTCGAAACATATAGAATAAATACTGTAGGTTTCTTAAAATATTTAAAATAAAATTAGATTTAAAATGGATATTATGAATTACTATTTTTTTTAATATGTTTGTATTTTTTTAGCTTTCCCTCCCTTTGGGTCTCCAGTTCAAAACCCAGAAAAACTGTTTGGAACCAAGGTTCCATGGGTTCCTGATGACCAAGGAAGATGGAAAGAGGTGCTATGGATTTTCTTTGGTTTTCTACGAAGAAGTACGATATAGGAACATTTGTAATGCCATGCACACCCTACAGGTAATAGATAACTCTATATTTATTCACCAAATCACCCACAACTATCAAACTATTTGTTCAAACTAAATTATGTTTTTGGCAAAATTATTTAAAATTAAATAATACACAGCATTGTCATATGATAAAATACTCTAGAACTACTCGGTATACTTGTAAATCGCATTTGAAAATGAAGATTTTTTTGACTTTATTCATAGCAACAGGTCGACTGCTTACTGGTGCAGAAGTACATTCACTAAATTATCTATAATTATTAAATTATTTGTCGAAACTAAATAATGTTTTTGGCAAAATTGTTTAAATTAAATGATTCACAACATTGTCATATAATAAAAGACTCTAGAACGACTTGTAGTACATATAAATCCTACTTAAAATGAAAATTGTTTTGACTCTGGTGACCAGACCAGTCATCGTAACGGGTCACGACTTCTTACTCGTGCAGAAGTGCATTTAATCACTAAATCATTTATAATTATAAACTATTTGTCGAAACTAAATATTGTTTTTGGCAAAATTGTTTAAAATTAAATAATACACAACATTGTCATATATAAAAGACCCTAGAACGACTTGTAGTACTTGTAAATTGCATTTGAAAATGAAGAATTTTTGGACTCTGTTTTTAGCGACGCATCGACTTCCAACCCGTGCAGAAGTACATTTAATCAGTAAATCATTTATAATTATTAAACTATTTGTCGAAACTAAATAATGTTTTGGCAAAATTGTTTAAATTAAATTATACACAACATTGTCATATAATATAAGACTGTAGAACGACTTGTGTTACTTGTTAATCGCACTTAAAAATGAAGTATTTTTTTGACTCTGTTTAGAGTAACGGGTCGACTTCTTGCTCGTGCAGAAGTATAAATGTACTTCTGCACGAGCAAGAAGTCGACATCAGTAAATAATTTATAATTATTAAACTATTTGTCGAAACTAAATATTGTTTTTGGCAAAATTGTTTAAAATTAAATAATACACAACATTGTCATATAATAAAAGACTCTAGACCGACTTGTAGTACTTGTAAATCGCACTTAAAAATGAAGAATTTTTTTGACTCTGTTCTCAGCGACGGTTCAACTTTTTACTCGTGCAGAAGTACATTTATTCAGTAAATTATGAATAATTATTAAACTATTTGTCAAAACTAAATATTGTTTTTGGCAAAATTGTTTAAAATTAAATAATACACAACATACTATCATATGATAAAAGACTCTAGAACGACTCGGTATACTTGTAATCGCATTTGAAAATAAAGTTTTTTTTTAATCTGGTCATAGCAACGGGTCGACTTGTTAGTTACTCGTGCAGAAGTACATTCAATCACTAAATCATCTGTAATTATTAAAGTATTTGTCGAAACTAAATAATGTTTTTGGCAAAATTGTTTAAAATTAAATAATGCACAACATTGTCATATGATACAAGACTCTAGAACGACTTGTAGTACTTGTAAATCGCATTTGAAAATGAAGAATTTTTTTGACTGTTCTTATAGCGATGCATCGATTTCTTACTCGTGCAGAAGTACATTCACTAAATCATCTATAATTAATAAACTATTTGTCGAAACTAAATAATGTTTTTCGCAAATTTGTTTAAAATTAAATAATACATAATATTGTCATATAATAATAGACTCTAGAACGACTTGTAGTACTTGTAAATCGCATTTGAAAATGAAGAATTTTTTTGACTCTGTTCTTATAGCGACGCATCGACTTCTTACTCGTGCAGAAGTACATTTAATCACTAAATCATTTATAATTATTAAACTATTTGTCTAAACCAAGTAATGTTTTTGGCAAAATTGTTTAAAATTAAATTATACACAACATTGTCATATAATATAAGACTGTAGAACGACTTGTGTTACTTGTTAATCGCACTTAAAAATGAAGTATTTTTTTGACTCTGTTTAGAGTAACGGGTCGACTTCTTGCTCGTGCAGAAGTATAAATGTACTTCTGCACGAGCAAGAAGTCGACATCAGTAAATAATTTATAATTATTAAACTATTTGTCGAAACAAAATAATGTTATTGGCAATATTGTTTAAAATTAAATAATACACAACATTGTCATATGATAAAAGACTCTAGAACGACTCGGTATACTTGTAAATCGTATTTGAAAATAAAGTTTTTTTTGACTCTGGTCTTAGCAACGGGTCGACTTCTTACTCGTGCAGAAGTACATATAATCACTAAATAATTTATAATTATTAAACTATTTGTCTAAACTAAATAATGTTTTTGGCAAAATTGTTTAAAATTGAATAATACACAATATTGTCATATAATAAAAGACTCTAGAACGGCTCGGTATACTTGTAAATCGCGTTTGAAAATGAAGAATTTTTTTGACTCTGTTCTTATAGCGACGCATCGACTTCTTACTCGTGCAGAAGTACATTTAATTACTAAATCATTTATAATTATTAAACTATTTGTCGAAACTAAATAATGTTTTTGGCAAAATTGTTTAAAATTAAATAATTTACAAAATTGTCATATGATACAAGACTCTAGAACGACTTGTATTACTTGTAAAACGCACTTAAAAATGAAGAATTTTTTTGACTCTGGTCAGAGTAACGGTTCGACTTCTTACTCGTGCAGTAGTACATTTAATTACTAAATCATTTATAATTATTAAACCATTTGTCGAAACTAAATAATGTTTTTGGCAAATTTCTTTAAAATTAAATAATTCAGAACATTATCATATAATTGAAATCTCTAGAACAACTAGGTGTACTTATAATCGCAAAAGAAAAGTGACTAATACATTTGATGTTACTAAATTTACTAAATAATTTATAACTTCCAAATTGTTTTGCGGAATGTAAATAAAATTTATTTATTTCTTTTATATAAAATGTCGCTTACACCTAGTTCATTTTTTCTTTTTCAGGCGATGCATCTAACCGAATTATCCAGTGGCCAAGGTATAGTGCGCCCTAAAGGGCCCCACTCAAGATCACTGCCCCGTCATTTGAAATTGATGTCACCACACTCCGGCTCTGCCTTGACTTACTATGATGTTGCCAAAGATAAATTATTCGTTTCCAAAAGCATTGTGATACTTACCCAAGAATGCTACTCTTATGTAGCTGAAATATTCCTCACCAACTTGTACAAGTACGTAGACACTAGGTTTTATACAAAAACCGACATTTCAGAAAACCGGTTTTCGAATTTTAATTTTGCTAAAAAAAACGGTTTTATCCGGTTTTCGAATTTTATATATAAAATAAATTTTTGCTCGAATATTCTGTAATTTATCCGCAAATTTAGTGTGATTTAGAGCAGTATTTGACTGAATTTATTTATTGTTCAATTTTATGGATAGTAAACAAAATTATTTTAAGTTTAATCAGTAGAACTAAGAAATAATAGTTTATCTTGATTGAATAACTTTGAAAATAATTATTCGTTATTCATGCATCATTTTCACATTTAAGAATGAAAATATTTTTATGATAGTGAAAGTAAAGTTTTCGAATAAATAAAAATAATACATTTTTAAATAAAAAACATTCATTAAATTAAAAAAAAAAAATTAGATACATGTTGATACATACTTGTTAATATCAATTTTAGTTTTAAAAACAATTAAGTTAAACTCAGGTACTGCTTGTTCCGAGCAATTTTAATTACTTAATTTTAAAGATTCTAATTGTATTTTTTTGTTTAATAAAATATGATGTCAAAAAACTGAGAACGTCTATCGAATTGTTACTGAAATAGAAAATACGCTCATACTTGCGGCTAAATTATGCATAATTGCTTTTAAAGCCTGATATAATAATTCCAAGCTTTTTGTTCTTTTATTTGTGGCTTCTAGGGTTTAAAACTCTTTTTTTAAGTTTGAGTACTTCTTCTTCAAGAAGAAGTCACACTGATTTAAATTAAAATATACTCTGGTATAAAAATCTAAATTAATATATACAAAACCTTTCTGGGAACGATTGCAGATTGATAAGATATCATATGTTATTGAACCGATATGATTTCAAGAATCAAAACGCTTTCATATATCTTTTATATTTGGCTATATTTGTCATTTTCCATTTATACAGTGAAAACCGCTATAACCGCTAAACTTTATTCACTAAAACCCGGTTTTCGAATTCCATAATTTTCGCCAAAAAAATCGGTTTTTAAAACCGGTTTTTGAAAATCGACAAACCCTTGTAGACATCGACAAACACTTCCATTCTAGCAAAAATAAATTTTAATATTTTTTATAGAAGTCTTCCACGTCAACCTGGTCCAGGTCTATCTCCAGAGGCGTACATATATAATTTGTTGTACGATGCAGCACCACCACATCCTGGAAAATCCGTAAGACTTTTTCTACCGCCTCCAAATCCATCAGGAGCACCTTTGGCTGCTGTTATGCAGAAACCTGGTTTAAACGAGTTACCACCTTTGCATTATCCTTTAAGGACTTTGTTTAAGTTGCTGGGGGTTGAAAATGTTGTTCAGCTGTTCACGTGTTTGTTGCTCGAGAACCAAGTTCTCTTAAGATCCAGTGGTAAGGGATAATTGACATATCGATGCTTTTCTGACGCAACCTCGTATCTCAGAAACTACTACTTTTCAGGAGAGACAAAAAACGTTTTATAACGAATTTTTAAACTGCTGTCAACAATTTTTTTTATAGATTTTAAAAATATTCAATCTTGTTACAATTATTTGAGACAAGTATGATATTACAAACAATTAATCATTATTTTTTCTTCAATTCTTTGAGATACGTGTTTGTCGCACGAAAAAAAAATGTAACATACGTGGTTGCGTCATGCTGTTTTCAAATAAGAGTACATGAATAACTTTTTTCAATTGTTTTATTTTGAGAATCGATCAACTTTTTAAATAATCCTTAATAAAAAAACAAACATTGTTAAACTTGTGGTATATGTTAGTTTATAATTACGACAATTTAGTATCTGGCCATAGTTTAGGAATTTCAATATCTAGGATATTTAGCTCTTTCATGGATTTATAATTTACTACTTTGTGATTATCATTTTTATTGTTACTTTTATTCTTTTTCGTTCTTATTTCTTTATTTAATGATTTTTTATTTGCGGATGACACATTATCTAACTCTAAAAAATACAAAATTTAATTTCATGTGAGAATTTATTGTCGGTAAGAATTGATAATAATTGTTTAATTTTTGTTGCTTACTGTGATATTTGTTCTCAACATAATAAAAATATAACTGGTGGTGCATGGCATCGTGCCTTTAAGCAAATTGGTGGAACTTCCCATTCCGTAATTAAATAGAATCGAGGAATAATAAATGATTTCAAATAGATTATTATAAATACTGTAACTTTTGTTATTCGTATTTGAATGACAAAATATAAGAATAAATTGGACAACGACGTTTATATATGTTTACATAAAACGTAAGTAAAAGTAAAAAAAGAACATATCTCATATTTCTAAGAATTATATAAACTAATTTGCAAATTTAAATTTATTTATTTGAAATATATAAGAGAATTTTAGAATTTTAGCTAGCATTAAAATTATTCGAATCATTTTTCATATTTAAACAAAGAAATAATTGTAAATTAAAAAAAATGGACAAGAAAAAATTCTGCTTTCCTAAACTAATCGATTCTTTATACTGCAAAATATTTTTTGAATCATTCGAATCGGAAGCTTTGAAACGACTGGGCCTGTCTTTTGTCGTGTAAACTAATCACCACGCCATCAATACAAATTGAATGTTTTTAAATAATTCAAATCGGATGTTCTGTTTTCTCAATAGGAAACGATTGTTTTTTGAACGTTTCAAATCGGTTGATCTGTGCTCCCGAAAACGTGGGCAGAAAATTATATCCACACACACACACGCACACAAACACATACATCTATTTTATTAAGGTATGTCAAGATATTCAGAAACCTCTGAAACGTTAAATATGCAAAAAGTTTCATTTTCAATTTTCGGAAAATTACTATAACTTGCGGTAAGTAAATAATAAATATATTTATTAATTATCGTTCATTAAGTTTTAATAACAATTAACTTAATTGAATAATAATTTTTAACTTCCCGTAGGGCAAGTTATAGTAATCGCAAAAAAGTCGAAAATGAAAATTTTTATATATCTTTACGTTTCAGAGGTTTCTGAACATTTTGGCATACCTTAGAAAAAATGGATGTATGTGTGTGTGTGTGTGTGTGTGTGTGTATGTATGTATGTATGTGTGTGTATGTATGTGCGGATACAAATTTTCGTCGACGATTTCGGGAACACGGATCAACCGATTTGAATAATTCAAAAAACATTCGATCCGTATTGATAAGGAGACGTGCTGATTAGTTTTTGGCAAAGGCAGGTCAAGCCGTTCCGAAGATACGGGGCAAAAAGTTCCGAAAACGGTAACTCAGTTTTTAAGAGAACGGAGCGTCCGATTTTAATAATTCAAAAAACGTTTTATTTGTATTGACAAGATGAAGAATCGATACAACTTTCATGAAGGTAGGTCCAGCGGTTTCGGAGATATAGAGGAAAATGTAAAAAAATGAGCCATTTGGCGGTCAAAAATGATCATTAGACATATGCACATCAAATTATCAGACATTTTATAGAGATTTTAACAATAAGTATACATTTTGTTAACATTCCTATCGGTTCCGTACCAATGCTTATGCGTTAGACAGCGACGCGGCGCTTACGCGCTTTATATTTTGTCCCTATGTAGTTAAAGCAGTACGATTGCTTTGAAAAAAAAGTTCAGATCTTCCACAATATGTTAAAATAAAGAAAAAAAAAATTTTTTTCAAAAAAAAAAATTTTTTTTAAAAAAAATTTTTTTTAAAAAATTTTTTTTTTTTTCAAAAAAAACTAATTTTTTGTCCAATTTATAGTTTCTCAAAAATCTTATTTTTTCAAAGTAATTTTTTTTCAAAAATGTTAATCGTTTTAAAAAATAATAATAATTTTTGGTACGGGAAGTTCCAGCAATTTGCCTTAAGGCACGATGCTCTAATTGCCTTAAGACAGAATTCCACTTACAGCTAGTTATTAGAAGGATTGAACTAAACAACATTGCTGACAGCGAAACTTGTTTATATACGCCACCATGTATTCTGAGATACGAGGTTGCGCTTGGCACATTTTTCTGAATTGAGATTCGTGATTGTATTTTTCTCAATAAAAAACGTTCGGTTGATTTTTTTTTACAAAACTTCACAGATCTATGCGTCTATATTTAGTGATTGATTTTCCGATTAAAACTCAAAATCGTCAAAATCGAGTTACGAGGTTGCGTCAGAAAAGCATCGATATGTGTTGGTGATTTGGTTTGGTATTTATGTGTGTTTTAGATTGTCAACGTCTGATGGTAGTCGCAGAATGCATCACAGGTTTACTATTTCCATTCGCCTGGCCTCATGTTTACGTACCTGTTTTACCTGCATCGTTACATCACTTTCTGGATGCACCTGTACCATTTGTAATGGGTAAGTAGGAAAAACAACCAAAATACTAGTTGGTATTTGTATTTTGCCTTGAGGCAAGTTACATGAACTTCCCGATATGTGTAAATAATCGACTTAATCAATAAAATAGAAATTAATTTATGAGTGATTAAAAGTATTCCGAGAGGATTTATCACACATAATTGAAAACGAACGAACACGTTAACTCGGAATTTTGTTTAGAAGTAAATTTTCAAAGATCAACAATTTTTATATTTGAACCAGTTTTCGTAGGACTTTAATGGTTTAGTATGTTCAATAGGACCAAGTACTCTATCGTTATACCAAGTAAATTGTCTAATTTTAATTTTAACAAACGTCAAAACAACTACTCATTTTATCAAATTTTGATGATTTCTTTAAATTAAACTACTTGTCGTAAGGCCGTAATATTTCAGTAAGTTCTATAAGACCATGATATATATCGCTAGAAAAAGTTCCATAAAAATCGGCTTAAATTTTTTATTCAACGGTTCATTACAAGAAAACGGCTCGGTAGATTTTCACCTAAAACTAATCAGTATCATTCCCAAGTAATATCTTAAATGTGGACGAAAAGTTTAACACTTTTTTTCAAATTACAAAGAAACGGCTGGGCAGATCGTTTCACAAAACTGACAAATGATAGTCCTCATTGAGATACATCAAATGGCTTTTAAATTTCTGAAATCGGTTCAGGCGTTTCTGAGAAAACGTCGATGAAAGGTCTAATTTTGACCAAAAAAACGATACCAATTTTTGCAAACTTTGACGAATTTTTAAAGTTAAACCAATTGTCGTAGAGCCGTAATATTTTAGTATGATCTAGAAGACTATGGTATCTACCGTCAAAAAAATAATCATAAAAATCTTCGAAAAATTTTTTTTCAAAACTTTATTACAAGAAAACGGCCCGGCCGATCTTTACCAAAAACTAATCAGCACGATTCCCAATCAATATCTTTCGAACGGTTTTTGAATTTTCAAGATCGATTCAGAACTGCGGGCTAAAACGTGGACGAAAGATTTTTCACTTTTCTGCTATTTATAAAGAAACGGCTTGGTCGATCGTCGCACAAAACTAACAAACAATAGTCCTCGTCGAGATACATAGAATTGCTTTTAAATTTTTGAAATCGGCCCAGCCGCTTTCGAGAAAACGTCGATTTACGGCAACAAATCTGTTCACACACACACACACACACACACACACACACATACTTTTTCCAAATTTGGTCTCATTCGATTCAGAATGGCTTGAAACGTCGAGAAAACATAAAATTAGCGAGTCGGATTTATTGATGAAAACATAAACTTCTCCTTCGGGAAGTTAACTATCACAATTTTTACTATGTCTTTTCCCCCAGGTTTGCATGCAGAAGCTGATTCTATACTGAAAATTGGTTCAGAAGCTGCCTTGTGTTTCGTAGATATAGACAAACCTTTACTCCAACTTCCTGAAGAAATTCCAGTGTTTCCACACAGAACGCGTTTATCCAGGAACTCCAAGCTGTCTTGGATAAACACCAGGTTGTTTGCCATCAGGATGAGGTTGTCACTAATCAGCAAACTGTTGTTCAGAACCAGTTTGCTGGTGGTAATGCTAAAGTTGATGTTATGACTGCCAGTTGTACTTTACCGTCAGGTGAGAATAAATTTAGATTTTGGTTGGTTGTGGTTTATATTGAAAAGTTTTGTTGGTTCAGGTATGCATTTAAGGCGTAAACATTCTCTGCACGATGTTCTGGATTGGGACAGACCCAATTCACCAGATGTCGAGAACCAGAAACCTCCAAAACATGATGGTAAATTTGGACCGAGGTCTGAAGCTTTGCAGAGGGTTAGACGAACAGGTAAAAGAACTGAAATTACATTTGGAAAACAGGTATCACTCACTTATTTTTTCAGGTGATGTAGATTGTGCAGTTCCTCCGTCATCACCAAAAGGACCTCTACCACCGATGGAACAATATTGCGAGGACATGAGATTGAATAATGCTATACGGGAAATATTTCTGAACAGATTTGTACAAATGTTTGCAGCTTACGAGCACTTTGTGATATATCCTCAAAATACTGAGGTAAGGATAATAGACTCACTTTTTATTTTCCCGTAGGGTGAGAAAATGAAAATTTTCACATTTCTCGACGTTTTGAAGGTTTCTGAACGTTTTGGCATACCTCAGAAAAAATTGATGTGTGTGTGTATGTGTGTGTGCGTGTATTTTGAATGTCCGCATTTTTCCGTCTACGTTTTCGGGCGCACGGATCAATGGTTCAAAAAATATTAGATCCCTATTGATAGGGAGATGTGCTGATTAGTTTTTGGCAAAGGCAGGTCCAGCCGTTACGGAGATACGGAGCAAAGATTGCAGAAAATACAAAGCGAGTTTTTGAGAGAACGGAGTATCGGATTTGAATGATCTAAAAAACATTCAATTTGTAATGTTTGGGAGAAGAGGTGATTAATTTTTAGCAAAGACAGGTCCCGCCATTTCGGAGATACCGAGCTAAATGTGCAAAAAATGACCGTTTTTGAGTGGATTAAGCGTCCGATTTGAATGATCTAAAAAACTTTCTGCTTGTATTGACAAAACAATTGCTTTTGAGGATAAAAAATTATTACATCTTTTTTTTATCTTTCATAAAATATTTTTGTAATTTTGGATTAAAAATTCAAAAAATGACCCAGGCTAAGCACAGTCTAAGCGCCACTTTGGTACACATGTTTACCCAAGTGCGTTTACACTGTTCATGTAATGAAGCAGAAAATGTCGCACAGAATTATTTGCAAATGCGTTTAGACTGTGACTATACGGCAGCACTTTTTCAATTTTGTGTAAATTAGGCAACTATTTTTTTTTTTTTTTTTTTTAATTGAATTCGAAATGAAATGACGATTGTTGATATTCTGAAGATAAATTGATTTATGATTTACATTTGATTTGCTCAGATATTGTAATGGTTACAGTATTTGTAATAATATATTTGAAAACGTTTGAAATTTCTCGTATATTTTATTACGGTACGGGATGTTCCAGCATTTGCCTTAAGGCAGGATGCCATACACCACTAGTTATACTTGCAATTATTTATTTAATTATTTGTAGGAACAAGGATCTCCAAACTCATCCCTGCACAGTTTCGACAAAGCATCATTCTTATCAGACCAGCCTTTACTACACAGACAATTCTTATCGAGGTTTTTGGAAAGTCAAATGTTTGCTTCTCTGATCGATCACAAAGCCCAACCTTCATCAGATCACCCACATCCTAGTCTGGGAGTCTTCGAACACAGACTGAACCTCTTAAAGTACGTCTACACACATACAGCAAAGTCTTTTTATTACCAAATATCTACAACATATGTCTTTCTCTAGGAAACGTTACGGTGGAGACAGTCTGTCCAGGAGTCCCAATTACGAGCCTTGTACTTGTTCAAGGGAGTCCCAAAGGGCACTCGATAGAAGGTTGGCAAGTGCTGATTTTGAGGCACCACCTCCGAGGGAATTGCTACCAAATAGACCAGCTTATTTTAGGTCTTTTCCTTTGCTGGACAAAAGTGTGCTCAACCAGGACAGGCCTAGGTAAAGAGGATAAGTTTTTATATGTTGTGGATTTTTTTATTGAATAGTTTCAACCAAGGGGATAATAGATTTTGTGGAAACGTTATTTTTTTAATATTTAACACCCTTTTTTATTGCATTTTTAACTTCTGGTTGAAATTATCTTTTATCAGTCCACACATATATCAGTATTGATTTTTAGAATTAATAAATGTTGTGTTATCGTCTACTATATGTTGTACATGAAAAATTAAATTAATAATTTGATATTAATTAAAAACAAATTTAATTTAATTGTCATGTCTTTTGTATTGGCTTTATTGTATCATTTTGGCTTTTGTACTCGTGTATTGTTGTCTTGTCTTGCCAACAAAATTATATAATATATAACAGATGCTAATAATAATTTAAAATATTTAATATAGAAGGAATGAAAATTATTAATATATCTATTGTTAGATGTTAGTAGGAATTTATGCAGTATTTAAATAGAAGAAATTGAATTTCACATTATTGACAGTATTGGAAATACAATAAGTATTATAACTATCAAGGAAATTAGAGATGAAATTAGCAAAAATAAAGTATTCGGTTTGCATCATTCCAAATAGAATTATCCTTAGGTGGTGTGTACGATGTCACAAAAATTTTATTTAGGTAGTACAAAAAAATTAATAGTATTCTTTAATTATATACTTCTCATAATTAGTGCAATTGTAGATTAAAAAAAGTGTTATGATAATATAAAACATAATATCTTCTCTTAAGGAAATTTACTCGAGTTTTAGAAAATTAGCAAATACTCTTCTCTCTACTAAAATATAATAAATGACCAGTTTATTTTGTTACTAAGTAATAAAGTATTTTTTATATTTATTTTTATACGTTTTATATATTTTTATTAATTATTGATTTTTTATAAAAGACTTTTAGATGGTGCTGAAAAAAATGACTAAAATTGTGTAAAATTTGGCATGATTACATATAATAATATTTATATTGCAAATAAATTATTATAATTAATAAATAATAATTATTATATGTTATGCTCAATGTGCAATTTGTATTAATATATTTTAAATATTTATATTTTATGCTTGATTGTTAATTAATCGAATAGTTTGTTATAAATAAATTTATGTGCTGAATTGAATTAAAAAGGGTTTTAATTATCACCTTTTCACAACACTCTATCTTTGCATCTTTCATATTTTTGTTAATTTCTTTTTCTAAAAGTACTAACAAGTAATGAAAATGTAGAATATTAAAATCCTTTTTAAATCATTGGTTAACAATTTAATTATTTTATTTTATAACACAAAAAATCAGATACATAATATTGGTGTAAAATTATGTCAATGCATGTTTGATATTGTAATTTTATATTTTTTATCATGCAAATTTATTTGATTTTTTAATTCATAACAACCACAATTTTTTGGAGGATATTTTAAACGAAATTTATTAGTTTACATACACATATACAAAAAATGTTATACAATAGTCAATTTATTTCAATTATTTTGTTTGAATAGTTCAAAATTTATAAAACTATTAATTTTAATATTCGTTATCGTATACTAAGTTGTAGTAGGTATTTTTTATCACATTTTTTTAATTTTAAATATTTTTTCTCGTACATCATTAATTTTAATCAAATAGTTCAAGATCTATAAGCGATATATAATTAAATGCATTAGATTTATTTTCCATTTTCGATTGCGATTTTTAAGTATGCCGAGTTGCTGTAGGGTGTTAAGATGCTAGTAAATATTGTAAATAAATATAAAACTAAATATTTCATTCTTATAAAAAAAACCGTTTAAAAGTTACAAGAGATATAATAAATAAATGCACTTCCAATAGAAGACGTCAATACGTAAGCAGGGTTCTCAGATACATATATCTGTTTCAAACCCAATTTTAAGGTATACCAAGTTGTTGTATGGCTTTATGGTGTTAGTAAATATTATAGATAATTCAATTTTGTACAAATTTGCCAAATATTTTATTTACTTAAAACAAACCGTTTAAAAGTTACAAGATATTTCATAAACAAACGCACTTACAATAAGTAAGTGATCAATTCATAACTCAATTAGTACGGGAGCTCATGTAAAAATTTATTATACCGAGTTGTTGTATTCAAAATGTATTTATTATTTATCAATTTATTTATATATACAAAATATTTATATTATATATACAAAAATTTTATTTTTTGACAGGAATTCCAATAGTCTCAGAAGGATCAAACAAAGTCACAAAAATCAGGGAATAAGGGAACCCCCGGACGGAAACGAGGATAGTGGTAGTAAATTGTCACTTCCACCTAGTGAATTAAATCCTGCAATCCTTGCTCAGGCTAATTGGACATTTGTTGAAAAACTACTAAAGGTAATAAAAAAAATATAGAAAACCTGATAAATCCTTCCTTTTTTCAGTTCTTGTAATTTTTCTAAGATCTTGCAGAAGACACTCTTAACCATCATACTAAGTAGTCATTCCTTAGAGTTCATGTCTGTGATCCATACTTGAAATTTAGCATTTTATTATAATATTTATTACTCAACATTTTTATAATATTTTCTTATATTTATTATATTTAATGCTTTACATATTTATGTACATTTAGTTTTATTTTGTATTGATTTTTTATTGATTAAAAATTGTAAGTAAATCGGTTCAGTGGAAGTTGAGAAATCGAAATTAACATATAGAAAAAAACAGTTTGGAGAAAAACGCGTTTCAAGACTTTCATGGTTGAAAAAATGTTATGTTGGCTTCATGGATTTCTGGTTCTGATTTTTATTATTATCTATTTCTGGTTCTTGTCCTTTAGGATTGTAAAAGTAGGACGAAAAGGATGCTCTTAGAGAAATTAGGACCAGAAGCAGGAACTTTGGGTCTAAGCAATGGAGGTCTCGGAGGCGTCGAAGAAAGCACCCTTGTTTCATCCCTTTGTGACCTTCTGGAAAGGATTTGGTCACACGGATTGCAGGTAAATAATTAACCAGTAGTGATGTACTTAAGATAAAAAAGCACAATTTTTAACTAATTTTGTGTATATTTATTTTAGGACAAAAAGGGCAAATCTGCCCTCTGGGTGCACCTTACAAGTTACCAAGAATTGCAAAAGGGTGATGATCTCAAATCTACTGACCCGAATTTTTTAACACCTGGTAAGTTGCAGATTTAATTTAAACTAAAAATTTTTTATAACAAATTATTGTAAAAATTTAGTATGTTATTTTAATATTACAATATTTCACGCTGCTTAAATAGGATTGTCTTGGTGTGTTTTGAAAAAGAGATTGGATTGTAAGTATCAGATATAATAATTAGATTATAATTTTAAATTTTATTAGCTCACCATGTGCATTTAAAAAATACATCAGAAAAACATTAACTAGTGGTGTATGGCATCGTACCTTAAGACAAATTGCTGGACCTTCCCGTACCGTAATGAAATAATCGAGAAATTTTAAACGTTTTCAAATATATTATTACAAATACTGTAACTTTCATTATTTTTGCTATCTTGTTATATCTGATTGTGAGCAAATCAAATGTAAATCATAAATCAATTTATCTCCAGAACATAAACAATCGTCAATTCATTTTGAATTCAATTTCAAAAAAATAGTTGCCTAATTAATTTACGCAAAATTGAAAAAGTGCTCCCGTATGGTCACAGTCTAAACGCATTTGCAAATAATTCTGTGCGACATTTTCACTTATAATGTGCTTAGCTTGGCAGCATTTTCACATTTTTCAATAGTTTTCACAAAATTGGGTAAACATTTGTACCAGAGTGGCGCTTAGACTGTGCTTAGCCTGCGTCATTTTTTGTATTTTTAATCCAAAATTACAAAAATATTTTATGGAAAATAAAAAAAGATGTAATAATTTTTTATCCCCAAAAACAATTGTTTTGTCAATACAAGCAGAAAGTTTTTTAGATCATTCAAATCGGACGCTTAGTTCACTCAAAAACTGCCAATTTTTGCACATTTAGCTCTGTATCTTCGAAATGGCGGGACCTGTCTTTGCCAAAATCTAATAACCACGTCTTCCAATCATTACAAATTGAATGTTTTTTAGATCATTCAAATCCGATACTCCGTTCTCTCAATTATTTATTTATTAATAAATTTCAGATTTATCCACGATGACCATCGAAGACGCCTCGACGAGTACAAAAGACAGTCCTAGGGACGAAACCAAAAATTTAACAGAAAAACAACTAAAACCTTTACCAGAATCTCTAATATTCGATATAAGGTACATAATATAATAACAAACGAAAATATATTTAAAAATATTATAAATATTTTATTTTTAGGAATATCCAAGCAATGACAGACATAAAGACCCACATAGGTTACGCAAGAGCATGGGTCAGATTATCCTTAGAAAAAAAGTTGTTGTCGAGACATCTGAGGACTCTATTATCCCAAGGATTGCTCCTAAAAACTCTATACAGGCGTTGTGCTTTTTTGAGATGCGAAGACGAACGGGAACAGTTTTTGTACCATTTGCTGACTCTAAACGCTGTGGATTATTTTTGTTTTACCAATACGTACCCCACAACGAGTAAGTGGAAAGGATGGATATGAAATTAAGCTTTGATTAAATTTATTAAAGGACATATCTATTTTTTTTTGTTCCAGCTTTACCTTATCGTGTGATAATTTTCCCTTCGAGGAAATCAAGTGCAGCGAGCAGCACCACTGCCAATTGTTACATTGTGATCTCGGGGACAATTTCTGAAACCCAACACATACCCATACCTAAAGGCTCTCTAGAATTCGTATTTAATGTAAGAGAAAACAAATCATATACACATTTTTACATGTTTTTTATATATGAATGATATCGATTTATTTTTTTAGCATAAAAATCTGGGAATTTTGACGACTTTGAGGATAGGTCATGATAGCACAGGTTTATCGGCCAATTGGAAAGTTGAGAATGTTCTTGTACGAAACGAAGTTACTGGACATTCTTATAAGTAAGTTGGCATAGAAAATATTTCACTAATAATTTTAATTCTACTTCTGGGTGGTTTTTGAATATTAGTAACTTTGAAGGTTTTTTTGACAAAAAATCAGTCAGTCACTTGGACAAGGTTTAATATTTGGCATAGAAAAGTCCGAAATAGAATTTTATATCTGAGAAAGTCTTTGGACCAACAATTCAATATTCATAAAACATTCTACATGCATACATTTTTATACGCACTACTAAAAAAATATCTTCTTAAATTTTATCTAGATTTTAACTTGATTCCGAATCAGATTACTTAACTTCTCTAGTTATGTAACTAGAAGTTCCAACTTCATTCAAGGTTTATAATACATATTTATAACACACATAATACATATAATACATAGATTTTTTTATTCTTACTCTAATCCGACTTTGTTTTAACTTGATTCTAATATAAGTCAATTCTAACAAGCTTCTGCTTTAATTATAACTAAAATATTTCTAGTAATTTTCTAATTCTTATCAGATTTCAACGACATTCTTAAATATAACTAAGATTTTAATAAAACATTACTAAGAATATTGCAATTGCAATTTGAATTTGACTTGGTTCTAATTAAATATCTAATTTAATTCGACTTGGTTCTAACTTAATATTTACTAAAATGTCATGAGTTAGAAGAAAGTGATTAGATTGAAACTGGATTATTGGCAGAATCTAGTTAGAAATGTAATTGGATTCTAAGTTTTAATTTTACCAGATCCTAATACGATTCTTACTAGATTCTATTTGTGACATTTAGAGTTAAATTTTAAATCATTAGTGAGATCTCACCATATACTAATGAGATTTTAACACAATTCTAAGTTGTACTCACCCAATTTAAATCGGGTTCATACCAAATTCCTATTGGAATCCGATCGGATTCTAACTAGGTGCTGACATAATTACAAATAAAATTTCTAAAAATTTTCTGACATCTATGACTTGATTCGAACTAGACTCAAATTTCATTCTTGATTTTCACTTGAGTATAACTAAAATCTTACTAAAATATGATTAAATTATTATTCTAATTAGATTTCTAATTAGGGGGCGTCTATTAATCACGTGAGACTTTTAGGGGGAGGGCGGTTTGACAAAAAATGAGGAATCAGTAAGATATCATATCAGTATATATTTTTTACTCATATTTTCAAAAGAAAATGCGATTTTTTCGTTAATTCGAAAAATTTGTTCGAAACATTTTACGTAACTAAAAATACACATGATGTTTGGTGGGGGAGGGGGATGGGTTAATTTTGCATATCACAACATATCACCAAGGAGGAAGGGGATGTCCAAAAAAAAAACCCTAAAAAACGATCACGTGATTAATGGATGTCCCCTTAACTCTAATTTGATTCCAATTTGACTACTCAAACAGGCGATAAATATATATACAAGATTCTGAATTTGATGTTGACATATGTATTAACAAAGTCTAGTAATCAGGCATAACATCAATAAAAAACATTAATTTCTTTCAAAAATCTATTTTAAATCCATACGTTTCGGCTGTAATCCTAGCCTTCATGCAGTGGAAACTAAAAATAAAATTAAAAACTAAAACAATTGAATTGGATTGAAAATAAAAAATAAAATAGTAAATAGTACTTACAATTAGTCTTAATTAATCTTATTGTTATTTTAATTAATTAGTTAATTAATCTTAATTAATCTTATTGTTAAATTTTAAAATTTTAATAATCCATGGTATCAGGATATGGTAATGCACTACACTATGTATTATAAATATTAAACTTGTAATTACACAATATTTCCACAAAATACTAATTTAAAAAATCACAATTGGATAGTGTGTTGTTCGTAGACTGGTTGAAGATATAATGGAGAAAGGACTTTTTAAAAAATATTTTTTACCAAGATTCTACAACATTTTTACCAAGAAGTCATCACTTATATATTTATATTTGAATTTATTTATTTAACTAACTTTGTGTATATATATATTGAATAACTAAATCCCAGTTTTAGTTTTATAAAAATTCTAGTTTTAGTAGATGCAGATAGATTAATTATTTATTAGTTTTTAAGAACTTTCTTCCAAAATTTAGTCACTATTTGCCCGAGATTTTTTTTTAAATATTACGTGAATGGTGCAAAATATTTTGTTATGTAAAATTGAGAGTAGTTGAAAATATTTGTAAGTAATTAATTTGTAGATATATTTTCAAAGGTGTTCCTAAAATTTATTTCAAAGTTATTATTCTTCACAAAAAAATGTTTCTAGAGTTTTTTTGAGATTTTTTACCAGTTACAATACTTGACTATAACTAATTCATATTGAAATATTTAACATATTTATAAATTGCTAGAATCTTGCTCTAATCTTACTAAATTTTGGAAATTATACCAAACTTTTAATTACTTCTATTATTATTTTTTCCCCAGATTTCCCTGTGGTCGTTGGCTAGGACGAGGCATAGACGACGGTTCTACCGAACGACTCCTGGTAGGAACCCTGGTGCCTTCGACGGTGCCATCTAAGGACCTAGTGGTCGCCTGCAGCACGCCTCCGAGGTCAAGGTCACCTTGTGCAGCAGGAGGAAGCACCGTCTTGAAACCGTCCGACATTCAAACCATGATAAGTAAGGAGATAGAGGAAATATTTATATTACTCTAAATATATTATGACACTTCATCTAGACATTTTAAGAGATTTTTGGATTGACAGGTTTTTTATAGTTTCGTTTTACTTTTAGGTGATTGCGTTAATGTTTTAGTAAAATGGCACTACAAACCCAGTAGACACAGAGATGTTAGTACTTTAACAACTCTCTTGTGTGGAGAAAACGGTCTGGTCAAATCTTTGCAGCAGGCGTTCCTGTTCGGTTTTCGTTCGTCCAGGCTTTTTGGACGCAACTTGTATTTATGGGATTATTTTGGTGAGTACCAAATGTATATAATAAAACTAGATGACCCGACAGACGTTGTCCTGTACCCATGTCTACAATTTTTTAATATAATATACTAATATTTACCGTTTACCTAAAAATAATAATTATTGTTTTTTTTAAATTACTCTTAACGCCAAAATGCATATACATTTATAATAGGAGCGATGTTAAATGTAGAACTGCTTTAAATAAAATGATGAGTCTCAATTCCCACACTGTAATATTGGAAATTGAAGTTTACTAAACGGTATAACATAACCATAACCATAACCTAATACTGGTACTTAAAGTTGGATTAAATTGATTTAATTTTTTGTTATTTAAGATATCCAAAATTGCATCTTAAACTTTTCCTAATCATAATCGTAATCCCAATTGTATGTATCCATCTTTACTTTTCTATTTGTTGTTATAAAGTGAAATTTTTACGAATTTTAAAAATATTGTGGAAAGATTAGTAAAAGATGTAAAGAAATTATATATTGAAAAAAAAGTATACTGAAAATTTAATATCCGAATCCCCCTAAGGCGTGCGCTCGTATTTTTCGCATGCATCGCATTAAAGGTAGGACCGGCCCTGATTAATGCTTAATTTCATATTTTAAGTGAATTAATTTGTCATATCCTGTTCATGTGTGTATCATTCAATCTGCCATACATATACTGTATTTTATATTATTTTATTTTCTGACATATCTCAGCTGCTTTTTGGCAATTATAATGTAGACATTTCATTTTTCTTATTCATAATCATAAATTTATTACACATATTCTAATAATGCCTAGGTTCATAAGTAAATTGAAATTTTTGGCAGATGATAGTTGTCATTTGTTTTTAATGCAAACAATGACATGTCGTTTTTGCAATTTTTGCTATTTATTTCTACAATATTGCACGTACATCCCAGTATTTTATGATCTCATACATCCTTAGAAAATGTCCTTAACAAACTTCAGAAAGATTTATCAAAATCCTAATAATCGTTTAGAAGAAGTGTACAGCGAGTGCTTGTAATTTAATATGAACTTTTTATAATAGCAATAAAGCTCAAATTTATTCTACGTTTTAGTTTGATAACGTTTGTATGAGAATAAGAAAGGCGCTGTTTTTAGGGGTTTCCCGGCAATTATTCGATTTTTTCTCGCCGTAAGAACCATCCTTGGACTTCAACGAACATTTTAAAAAAAGAATTGACCAAATTGGTCCAGGCGTTGTTGAGTTATGTGCTTACCAACACATTTTGCGATTCATTTTTATATATAAGATTTAGAACAATGTTAAAATGTGTTTTTCTATTTTTTAGTTCGTGTTAAAGAAGAATTCGAAGCGAACCTAGTCGAAGATTCTTTGGCGGCAGTTCGTGGTTCGGCGACTCCTCAGAACCAACAAGAAGTGGCGGCCGTTTGGAGGTGCTACTGCCATTTGGTGGACGAGATACAAAACGCATCACATTGTCATTCTTTGGGCAAAGATGGGAAATTCCAGCTTTTTATTTGTCTCAGCTTGAGGTAAAAAAATATACAAGAGTAAAATTATTACCAGGTTAATAATAATTATTTTTTTGTTTTAGGGAGCATTTACTCCACAGAATGTTGCAACCGATGGCTGCAACCAAATTAACAGCAGAAATGTACGAAGAGCAGTCTTTCCTACGTCGAAGAGGCCTTCTAACATTTTTGAGACAAATTTTGGAGCCTTTAGACGAGTTTCATATTGTTTTGGAAAACTCTATAACCCAAGGTATACCTTCACATTGTTAAAAAATAAAATATTATTTATTTCAACCAATTATCGACGCGATAATTTATTATTATTGTCGTTGATAGTTTTAGTGTTAAGTAGATATTTTTTTAGTAGTTTTTTAGTAGAATGTTGGTCCGAAGACATAATTTTCTCAGATATTAAATTCTATTTCGGACTTTTCTATGCCAAATATTAAATTCATACCTCGTCCAAATATATGACTGATTTTTTGTGAAAAAACCTTCAACATTACTAATATTTGAAAACCACCCAGACGTAGAATTAAAATTTAGTGAAATATTTGGGGATTAAAATAAAAATCAGGAGAAAGCACTTTTTAAACAAAATTTCGTTTGTAAAAAAAAACCATCGAAGTTATTAATTGTACATATATATTTGTTTTAATTATGAAAAATTAAACAATAATAATTTAAGTTTATATTATTAAAAATGTATCAGTGTATCTTCAATAATTTTACCAATTTTTAATATTTTTTTATGAATCTGTGCTTCCTCCTGGTTAGATTTTTAGAAATATTAGATTTTACTGAACTGTTTTATTGAATCTAATACTAAACTAATATATACTATATAGTAACTCAGGTAATGTCGTAAAAAATACATAATCAAATACGACTATTTATGATCATTTGAAATTACTAAATTTATACAAAAAAATAACGAATGCCATTGTGAAAGTTACCATTTTTGTTAATACGTTAAATATTTATTTTGATCGTTAAATTGTAGAAGAATATATATATATATACATATATATATATATATATATATATATATATTATATAAATAACCAATTAATATTACCTGGATTGAGTTTTTTATGAAATTTTTTTCAATGTATATAATTTGTGCACGGAGAGTTTAAACACACAAAATCGTTTATAAAAGTTGTTGTTTATGCGGTTCTACATTTAAATATTCACATAAACGAATTATTTATTAAGTAAAGATCAATTTTTGAAATGTTTTCAAAAATAAATAACGAACTGTCAAAGTTTGTTAAGGTTAAATTTTGAATGTAAATATAATTTATGCACAAGTATTTTTAACATATAGGATTTTGCCAACCATACGATTCTTTAAGTTATTTTAAGTTAAAATATTTCCTTATATAAGTTATTTATTAATTAAATATCACTTTTTAAAATATTTTTCATAAATTAATAACGAACCGTCAACTGTCAAAGTTTGCGGTCGCTGAAACTGAATTGAAGTTTGCAACGTTTAACGGACGTTATTTTTTTGATTTTCGAATCACAAATGTTGCAAAAGAATTGTTTTTAAATTTTATTTTACTATTTGCATAAATAAGTTAATATGTGATAAATATTTGTTTTTATAAGATTATTTTTAAATTAATAACGAAATGTCAAAGTTCGCGGTTGGTTGTAACACTGCGAAGCGCGCGTTGTTCATGGTTGTTGAACTGTCATTCGTTTTACGTTGAAATACAAAAAGTACTGTTTTTATATATTTATTTATATATTTCTTGGCTTTAAAAGTTTGAAAATACGCTAACAAACTATTTGTTCAAAAATTTAAATCGCTATAATTTTCTGTGGTGTTTGTGCAAAAAATATATGAACCACTAAATATTCGTCGAATCGACTTTCGTGATACAAATTTATACAAAAGTATAGTTTTTTATAATTATTTAGCTATTTTGTGACTTCATATGCTGTAAAATGCCTTTAATAAGGTAAACCGTTTGTTCCAAAAATTTTATAACGTTAATAGTTTTTGTGATATTTGTGCAAAAAATTGTGGTTAAAGTCGTTTGACGTTTGATAATGGCGGCCAGGAATAAATGATCTGTTTTTTTTTTAACATTCAAAGCTCAGTCCAGGTAATAAATAAATATATATATATATATATATATATATAATTTATCTCTGATATCACATCTTGCCAAAATCCAAAAAAACGACAATAGAAGTCATCACCTATATATTTTATTTTGAATTTATTTATTTAACTAACTTTGTACATATATATTAAATAACTAAATCCCAGTTTTAGTTTTATAAAAATTCTAGTTTTAGTAGATGCAGATAGATGAAATACTCATTAGTTTTTAAGAACTTTCTTCCAAATTTTAGTCACTTTTAAATATTTTGTTTGTTATTTGAAATTGAGAGCAGTTCAAAATATTATTTAGTAATTAATTATAGATTATTTTCCATGATGTTCCTAATTTTATTTCAAAGTTATTTGTCTTTGCAAATCTTTCTAGAATTTTGTTAGTAATTTTTTACTAGTT